TATCGACACAAATCATCACAAGCACTGCAGACAGAAGTATCAAGACCAAGACAATGAGAAAAATCTAACCTTCACCCGATCAGCATCAGACAATGGTCTAGATGAAATATCTCGATTGAGCAGCTCATTGACAAATTCAATGACCGGCAGTGGCTCAATGAAAGCCGTAGAGGACATATCTGGACCATTGATAATTTTGTCAATGTAACATAAAACATGGCAGTGGAAGAAAATGTACACAGTATGCATCACTTGTGGGGCAGTCAAATTGATAATAGGTGGTGAACTGGAGAAGAAAAAAAATCATGATAATTGCGTAAAATTTCAATTAAAAAACTTCAAAGATCAGGTACCAATATTCAGAGACAGCCCCATCTGCGTTGGACGAATACTTTGATAGAATCCACGCCAACTTTCCAAACCCTCACCGAGTGACTGCCTTCTCCCCAGATCAGGGGAATAAAATGAACGCCCCACAGGATAGTAACTACAATCAATCAAGACAACGCAGAGTTAGCTCTAGAACAATGTCAAAGTAATGTGCAATTATTGGCATGTACTGGGCACAATTAGAAGATAGATATTGTATACCTAGCAGTAGGCAATTCACGCAGAACAATGTCAAGAACCTGAAGGGCTTCCTGAGGAGCCTCAGCTTGCCTCCCCTGCAGAAAGAGTTCTAGATGGTGCAGGTCAGCACGTGCAGCAAATTTGATCACCACTTTAAATTCTCTCTCCCTCCTGCATCAAGAAGATGAGTAAGAAGACTGTATACAAAACCTATGTACAAATACAAACTGAGCACTGAGTATCCCACCTTTGCCCGCCTGATCCATCATCGTCATCCATAAGTGCGATCTTAAACTCTTTTGATGAGAAGGGAAGTGGCCCAGCAGTATACAGACTCTTGCGCCCGTCATAGGCAGGGAGCCGATTTCCAAGATGGGATTCCCTGTATAAATCCACCAGCCGCTTCATCACAGCCCGATTCAACCTCCGTGATGCAATGTCAGGTGTAATTGTAACCTGTTAAAGTAATATATGCATTTGAAAGCAACCATGATCAACATAGGTTTTAGAACAATATCAGAAGGATAGAGACATAGATGGAGTGTAAAAGAACTCACATCATACTGGTGCAAATCTTTGTCTGGCAATTCAGCGAAGAAGTGGTTTGCCTTGACTATACATTTTATGCCAGTGGTGCCTCTGCCAGGGCGAAGAGGGAACCTCACAGACTTACTTGAGGCTGGAATGGGTTGAATTGCATGGACAGGAGCAGGAGCAGGAACACCTTCTTGCTGGATAGAAATCTGTTGAAAAGGCTGTACCAATTCTGAAGACTGAGGCTCATAGGGCGTATAGGGTGCATAGGCTGTGGGGCCTGTGGGCTGAGGGGTGACCCCGGCAACATATGGAGCAGGGGTCGCTTGGTGCAGGTCGGGAACTGATGGTCTGGCTGGACCACCAACATAAGAAGGTCCTCCTCCCCCACGGCCACGACCGCCGCCGCCGCCGCCGCCATGACCGCCGCGACCTCCTCCTGCCGGATTTGGGCCTCCTCCTCCCTGACCACCCCTGCCCCTACCTCGATATTCATGCGCCTGAGCCGAGGTCCCAGCATAACTATATTGCTGCTGTTGTGGCATCCCACGGCCACGGCCACCACCACCACCATAGCCTCTCTGGCCTCCTTGTGGTCCTTGTGGTCCTTGGGGGGCCCAGGCTCTTCCACCCTGGTAACTTCCTCCTCTTGGTCCTTCATTGTGTTGTTGGGGTGAAGGTGAAGGGGAAGTCCTTTGGAATGCTTGATCACTGCCCCCACTACCTTCCTGAGGCTCGGAGCTTTCACCTCCACTAGGATTTTGAGTTCGCTTCTTCCTCCCCATGATGGTTTTCAATTATTGATGGCTGACTGCAGAGCGAATGCACAGCACACAGATCAAACCATAGTTGATTTGGAACTTACCCACTCTAAGAAGAAGCTCAAAAACTATTTGAGACTAAATAAGCAAGAAAATCAACATTCAAAGACACTTGAGACTGAAATTCATGGCCAAATCGAGCAGACCCATACATATCGTTGAATAAGCAAAGCAAATACTTTACATAAGCCTTTAAAATAAGAATAAAATAAAATAAAATAAAATATTTAAGAAAAGCAAAAACAGAAACCCCTATGCACAGAGAGAGAGAGAGAGAGGTTGTATAACTGACCTCAGAAAATTGAAATGAAACGGCAGTTCGTCAGAGGAGCAATTGCTTTGCTTCTTCTGGTTCTGGGTTCTCTCTCTTCTTTCTCTTCTCTTGTATTCTCTGTGTGAGAGAGCGAGGAGAGAGATGAAATTTTCCAATGAATATGATGTGGTACGATACAAAATATATTATTGTAGTACAATATGAATATTTTTGTTTTTGTTTTTTTTTAGGGTAGAGGCAGACGTAGAATTAGTATTAGTTTAATAAAATAAATAAATATATATTATGTAACGGTATCTTTAATTTTTAAAACTTAGTGAAACCCGCAATTAACAATGACCGCTGGTAGGTCTTTGAAAATGACAACTCCGCCTCCGCCAGTGAAAGGCGGCAAGAAAGAAACCACCTCTGGAGTCTCGTCCTCTTCTTTGGTGCTTCACTTGTGTACACCACCACCACCGCCAAACAAATAATAAACAAATAAAATGACCTTCTTCTTAAACAATAATAATTGGAAACCAACAAAGCGTTTATGTCTTGGTTTGGGTGGCATTAATTGGAGTGAGTGAATAAACTAATTTTAAATTATATTCTTAGACAAATATAAATTAAAACAAAAAACAGTATTTATTTGTTAACATGAATACATGTGAAGTTGACTCCACTTGATTTCTTATTTAATAATGTGATTCAATTATGCTAACAGCTCATTTGGTGCGTGTCAATTCACCTCAACTTAACTTCAAACTTGTTCATAAATAGAATTATATATATATATATATATTACCATCTGTGATTATTCTTTTCTTATAATGTTAAGATATGCGTCGTCATACATAGAATATTCTAGCAGTGCCATCGATCATACATCGTGTTACAAAAAGATGTAGTACCACCATCCACCAATAAATGGAATGCACTATTATTTCCACCTATACTTCCACATAATTCCACCAGCATTGGGGCGTGGTGGATGCTACTCTTCTTTTTTGTTTTTTGTTTTTTGTTTTTGGGGGTTATAAATAATGCATGCTTTGTGGTTGTGGGAGCTTGGATATGCAACACAACAAGTATAACTCGGGTACATAGAGAATGGAAAAAGCGTATCTTTAGGTTTAAGGTCATTGTTGAAACATGAGTTATGAGGTTTCAATTTCATCAATACGAAACTCAATGTTTTTTTAAATCTGGCCAAATTACGCCCTATGTCAACTTCACCGTTCTATTTTCTATTCAATTAATGACGTGGCAAGTAGAATACTCACCTTTTACTCTAAGAAAACAATTACACCAGCAATCGATATTCCAATTAAAGCTAGCTAATGTCATACTTTTGTTTTTATTTTTGTAAAAACCATGTCATGTCTTGAGTTGTTTCTAAAATAATAATAATAATGTTTAGGTTAGATGGTTAACTTTTTCTATAAATGCAAATATATTATGTGTGTGTGTGTGTGTGTCGTACGTATCATGTATGTACTTGGCCTTGGTATTGTACATGTATTTAATGTGGTTAGATAAACGGCAAAGAGGTAGGTGACCACTATATCTGCATTTGGCATGGTTTTGATTAGTAATAGGCAGGCAGGCAGCCCCCCAATTTGATTAGTAATCATCGACATGTGACTTTGTCATTTGGATTGAATTTACACCAAATTGATTAGCAATTATCGACATGTCGCCTTGTCAATATCTTGTAAGTTTGTAAATTGCTGAGTCCCTTATGAGCTAATACTTACTTTCATGCTCATTATTTTCCAATGCAATTCAAATAAAATAAAGAAAAAAACCAATAAATAAATGGAGGGATTCTTTTGTATCGATGAGAGGAGAGGTGCATGGTTCGTGACTCGTGAGGTCATTTGAATAAACTAGTGGGTTTGGTGGGGTAGTGGGGCATAATTCCTTTATTTATTATAATGCTAATCCTATCCTACCTATTACTAGAGTCATAGTGCACTGCATATAATGCAAGACAATGCTATTGATAAAAATACAAATTTATTATGAGAATCATGAGAGAAAGTGAGTAATCTATATTTCGAAAGACAAGGTTGTTTTCACGAAACAAGTCACTAAATCCCAATAAATAAGTGTAAAGAAAAAGAAAAACAAGAAAAAGTGTTTAAGACTAAAACAAGTGATTAATGCCACTCTTACCCCATGAAGTTGCACGTTTAGTTTATTAGTTTTGTGAATAATAAATATTGTAAGATGATGATACCAAACAAAGAAGGAGTAGCACAGACATGAAGCAAGCAACCAATCATATCAAGGTAAAAACCTAATATTATATTAGCATGATGGGTTTTTCTACTAATGTCCCAGCAAATAGAAGCCTCTCTCATTTGAAGTGCAGATCAGCAATGCGCACCAAATGGAGAAGAAGATAAGAGACTTTTATAATCTTCGTACACCTCCAGACAGAGAGCCCAACATCACTCACCTAATTGGAAGCTCATTGGAGTTTCATTCTTTCTACAAATTCATGGTCATTAAACAAATTATTATGCCAACTCAACTCATTTATTTTCCTGTCAAGTCTATACACTATACACATGATATTATATGCTCACACTCTGTCCTTTGTTTTCTTCTTCTCTGATTTGGGTAAAGAACTGATAAAGATAGAATATCTGACCTATATCAAAATCCTCTATCAATCCAGTGGACTCAGAGGGCGTTTGCACTGTTTGCAAAGGAGTTCATCAGAAGTAGAAAAAAAAAGAAAATTCATCCATTTCATAGTATAAATCCAGACTCACATTCCAAAAGCTCTGAGCTATCATTCAGTTCCTCTTTTATTGAATCTTCCAAAATGTTTGGCCACCATTTTTAAAAGGGAATGAATCGAAGTGCCTGCCACATCCCAATGCACTGCTCTCAAAGGCAAGTAAATTTCTTATCCTATGTTCAAAGTAAAAAGAAAACCAATTTTTCAATAATATATGCAGCAACTTAAACTTGTCAATGTAATGAAATTGCTCAATCAACCGCAAATGAAACTAACCTGCTAAGGCAATAATCATAAAGCCAAAGGGACAACGGGAAGGTTGAATGCACCCATGAATCTTCTTCTTCACCAGAAGTCAGCACAACTGCAAATTCCATCTTGGAAATGATGAAACCGACTCAAATCTCTTACAATTATTTCTCTCTTTGTAATAAGAGTGATGACCTTTATGGCAGCATGGCAATCACCACAAACCCGCAAATTTTTGGTAACTAAGATGGGTTTGCCTGGCCTCAGACTAAGAATTGCGTAAGCAATGGCTAGCTTCTCACTATGATAAAGGAGGATTCTTTCTTTCTCCTCTTCCTCAACATCTTGGAGAACAAAACTATTTTCTGCACAATATCCCAGCCTTTTCATATCTACTAGTAGTTCCTCTAGTTTTTCATGTATCTGAGCTGATTGAGGATGGGACTGATCTCCACCAACAAATCCATGAATAATCCCGTTTATCTCAACCCAACTGCATCCTGGACTCTTCTTAAGGCCTTGGCCCTTCTGCTTGATTCTGACATAGGCTGCATCATCCCATCTCCCAACAGCGCTGTATATGTTAGATAAAAGGACCAAATTTCCAGTACCTTCGGATCCTTTCCCCTGAATTTTCTTGGATACTTCTTCCCCAAGTTCAATATTATTGTGGACCCTACATGCAGCAAGCAGTGCACTCCACACACGAACATCAGCCTCAAATGGCATTTTTTGGATGAAAACGTGTGCCTCCGCCAAAAGTCCAGCCCGGCCGAGAAGATCCACCATGCATATGTAATGTTCCATCCTCGGGGTTATGTTGAAATCCTCACTCATAGCACTAAACCAGTGTTTGCCTTCGGTGACAAGCCCCGAATGGCTGCAAGCAGATAAGAGACCAATGAAAGTCACGTCGTCGGGCTTAATGCCAGCTGCCAGCATATGATGGAACTGTGAAATAGCTTCCATCCCAAGGCCATGAATCCCATAACCAACTATCATTGCATTCCATGAGATAATATCCCGCGTAACCATTCTGTCAAAAACTTGTCTACCTCTATTAATCTTCCCACACTTTGAGTACATGTCTATTAAGACATTACAAATTGAGGTGTCAGTACCGAAGCCATGAACAATTGAATAAGCGTGACCACAGGCCCCATGTTGAAGAGCAGCCAAATGTGAACAAGCCGGCAAAACACCCACCATGGTTGCCAAATCTGGATCAAACCCGGACAATTGCATATGATGAAATATAAGTAAAGCTTCCTTTGCATAACCATTCTGCACGCAGCCTGAGATGATAGCACTATAAGAAACTGTATCTTTTGAATTCATTTGATCAAAGAATCTGACTGCGTCATCTATGATCCCACATTTTGCATACATAGACAGGATTGTGTTTCCCACCATTGTGTTTAAATCAAACCCAGATTTAATTGCATAACAATGTACTCGTCTCCCTCTACTCAGATCAGTTAGCTTTGTGCAAGCTCGGAGTATACTCCCAAGAGTTACCGGTGTTGGATTTATTTCCTTTCTTAGCACCATTTCATCAAATAACACCATCGCCTCTCTCATAGAGTCACAGATCACATACGCACCTATCATAGCACTCCAACAAACCTCGTTCTTGACATCAATTGCATCAAATATTCTCCTCGCATAAGCTATGCACTGACATTTAGAATACATATCCAAAAGCCCAGTTCCAAGCACCACTTCACCACTAAGGCTCCTTCTTAGGGAGAAACCGTGCATTGCCTTCCCTTGGCTCAATGCATTAGCTTGTGCAACTGTGGGAAGAACTGCAACAATGGTGGAAGCGTTTGGACTTGTTCCAGCTTTCTGCATTTGAACAAGCATTTGTATAGTGTCATCATAAAGACCATGAAGCGAAAACCCTGCAATCATAGCATTCCATGCCACGACATCTTTATACGGCATACCATGGAAGACGGCCTGTGCCTCTGCCAAGTCCCCGCACTTGGCATAGAGGTCAATCAAAGCAGTGCAAACATAGACATCAGAGGCAAGCCCAAGTGCTTTGGCATGCTCATGTATCTCTCTACCAGCTTCCAGTGCTTGTAAACCCGAGCAGGCCTTGAGAACAAACGGGTAAGTGTACTTAGTGGGCTTAACACCCGATTGGAGCAAGTCATAGTACAAGTGGATGGCTCGTTCAAAGGGTCCATTCCATGCGTATGCTCTTATGAGAAGGTTCCAAAGAATAACACTTGGTTGGGGAATTTCATCGAACATGCGGAATGCGAGGTCAACTTGATTGCAGGTTATATACAAATGGGCTACTTTTTCAAGTAAAAAGGAGGTGTCCTTGAGGCGGGTAGTGTTTTTCAAGACATGTTCATGGATTTTCTTGGCTTGAGGGAGAGATTTAGATCGAATGCAGGCTTGAACAAGGTTTGCATAATAAGAGTCGAGAGAAGTGAGGGTATTTGTGGAAAAGCTGTGTGTTGTTGTTGCTAGTATCACTAAGGCAAGTGGTTGAGTTGTAAATTGGTCAACAAATTGGCGTCGAGTGAGTCGTCTTGCGGTGGCCAACCATAACATTTCCTTGTTCGTTAATTTGGCTTTGTCTTTGTCTTTGGGACCAAATTAACGACTCCCCCACAAACAATGGCGGGTTGGTTGTGGGTGCGTTTTATGTAGGTGACCAAATCGATACGTTATCATCTGAACTGAACCAGATTTGATTCTTTATTAACTCCCGGAAGAAAATTAAAGGTAAGCCAGTAGTTTTTAAAGAATTCTTCCCCTTATCTTATTTTCCATCTCATTTATTTAAAACGTAGGGCACTTTTCTAATAACTTATGAATTGTCTCGCACTTTTCTAATAGAACAACCCAGTAATTAAATTGTCTCGTGACACTGACTAAAGCATGATTAAGACTTGGTAATAGCTGGTAGATGAAAGTACAAGAAACAAGCAAAAAGAAGACTACAAATTAAATTATTATACTAATCCACACACAAACACACACATATATATATATATATATATATCGTTGTCGTCATCATCTTCATCTTTGTCCGTGGTGATGTCACCATATATATATATGTATGTATATACTTCCCCAACTTACCAGTAGAGTAGTAGATATACTGCATGCGTGTTAACCCCAAATTAATTTTGCAACAACGAGATACACATTTGCCACTGTGGTGACCTGTATATGCAGCATTTGTTGTTGTTGTTGGTCGGAATGTATATGCTCTAAATTAATAAAGATAAAAGTTTAAAGAGCCCTTTTTTTTGTGTTTAAAATTTCCCAGCAAATGAATCGATGTTGCTGTACCTGTAAGAATGAATAAGAAACTCAAAAGTTATATGCATATGTTAATTCATATATAGGAAAATGTTTTTGATGATTAACTTAATTAAGTCAGTATGTGTGGTTTAGATACCCAATCTAGCAAGATAAGTATCTTTATTTGAAAACATGAATTGAATACACACACACACACACATATATATATTATATAACAAATGACCCAACAAAAAAAAAACAGATAAAAAAATGCAGGAAGAGAAGCGTCAATAAGAAGAAGGTTTTGTCTGAGAATCTGGAAAAGGAAAAGTGTGAGGTCCTGAAGAGGAGCGAGGAAAATAAGGGACCTTGAGTCTTTTCCTTTATATATAAACTGACCATGATGCATGAATGGTGCTATAAATCATCGGGTAGCAAGAGCTAGCAACAAGGAGAATCAAGGACGACGACCAAGGAAGGAACACAATTAATCAAACTGAAAAGCAAGCGTGCGTTCCGTGAGTGCGTACACAGGAAGCTCTGATCATCATATAATTAATGGCGCCAGTGGGATTACCTCCTGGTTTCAGGTTCCATCCAACAGACGAAGAGCTTGTGAATTATTATCTCAAGAGGAAAATTAATGGCCAAGAGATTGAGCTTGATATCATTCCTGAAGTTGATCTCTACAAATGCGAGCCTTGGGAATTAGCAGGTGATGATCGATCATCCATCTTAAATTTAATTACTACCTTCTTAATCTTAATTAATTACCCTCGACATGATCATTCCAGTTCGATCTATATATACAACTATACTTGTTTTATATATATATATATATATATATATGGCAATGACATTGATATATATATGTATGTTGTATGCAGAAAAATCATTTTTGCCAAGTAGAGACCCGGAATGGTACTTCTTTGGACCCCGGGATCGAAAATACCCAAATGGATTTAGAACAAACAGAGCGACGAGAGCAGGATACTGGAAGTCTACTGGGAAAGATAGGAGAGTGACATGCCAGAATCGAGCCATAGGAATGAAGAAGACACTAGTTTACTACAGAGGGCGAGCCCCTCAGGGAATTCGCACCGATTGGGTCATGCACGAATATCGCCTTGATGACAAGGACTCGTGCTCCGACGACACCTCTTCCTCTTCCTCTTCCTCATCCCCTTGTGCCGCCATTCAGGTAGGTAACATCATACATATATATCTATATACATTTAATCCACGCATATTATTAATTAATTACTTAATATTATAGTATATGGTTGCATTTAATATTATAGTATATGGTTGCATGCATGCATGGAATGGAACTGATCATGTTACTCATCATCTTACCCAAAAAAATAAAAATAAAAGAGTGCAGTGCGATACATGAAATAATTTTCGTCGCTTCAATTAATTTAATCACTACAAAATGTATATATCATTTTGCTAATTAGTATATAAAATATTATAAATACTGGGAGAAATTAATATACTTGTTTATATATTCTGAATGACTCTTTGACACATGCGACGATCGATCTATTTGACTCGAAAAGCATCAAGCATGCTTGAGTCAGTAAGAAAAGCATTTCTTTTATCTTGCTTTTATTATAATTTCCACCTCTTTTACAGCGTGGGATGCAAAGGCAGGCTAGCTTCATTAACAATCTAATAATCAGCACTAGCTACTACTATAGTATACTAGCAGCAATTGATCAGAAGGCTTTGGAATGAAAAATCTAGGAACGTAAAACTTGCATGAGTTGCATGGAAATGGAATTGGAAGCTTATTTATGAATAACACACAGATCTCATATGCTTGAGTGTTTTGTCTACCATTCCAGTTTCCAATATCCCTACCCTACCCTACCCTACCCCTTGAAATAGATCGATCCTTGAAATCCCTGACGCACAGACATATTCGTTGCTTGCACCGGATCACTTGGAGATCTCTTGTTAGTGACAAAAAGCTGATGAGCTTCGCTTTGTCTTTTTGTAATGAGACAAAAGTACAATCCTCCGCATGATTCAGAAGATATCCCTTTAACTCAAGCTTAGGAATTGTATTTAGGCTTAATCATTCTATGATATCTGGACTTGAGGATTGTAAACCTAATTAAGTTATTTGGCGTATTCCAAACCACAAAAAGCAGCCACCCTCTGCAGTCGGCATCACTTTCATTCTGTAAGAAGGTGTCGGGGACTTTTTACTTTATTCCAAAGTCCAAAACAAGATCAATTATATATTATCCGCATCCCCTTTACGCTTTTACCATAAGAATTTAAAATTAAAATTATTAACTTCATCACGATCCTCATTCGTGTATTTTTTGTTGCACAATTTAATTTAACTAGTTTTGAATTTTACATCCTCCTCACTTAAGTTGCATGATGAATTTAAGGGTAACTAATATTGAGCATGACCACCAACGTAACCCTAACGCGCATGCAGGATTCTTTTGCATTATGTCGCGTGTTCAAGAAAAATGGTATTTGTTCGGAGATGGAAGAGCAGCAAGGGCAATATAGTGCCTCCCTGATTCAGGAAAGATCATCACAAGGTACCACTGGTAGTACTACAAATTTTAATGATTGTGAAACCATGTCGCCGGATATTCCGATGACAGCATCGTCATGCCTGGAGGAAGATGACAAAGACGATTCATGGATGCAGTTCATCACAGATGATCCATGGATGCACCAGTGTTCTACTAACCCTGCTATGCCTGCTGAAGAGCACCTCTCTCATGTCCCCTTCACAAACTAACTAAATAAATATTTCCCTGAGTTTTTGGATCTGATGGCTGGATTGGTGGTAAATAACTTGAAAAAAATGCATGCACACTGATGCAATTTTCTTACAATAAAATAAAACATACATACACGATTTCATAAAAGAAAACCAGACCAAGTTTGTACGGGTTTTTCATTATATATCCTTCATCAATTTGTAGATTGATTAATTATCTTTGGCTGGCTTTAGCCATTCTAGGATGGTTTGGTTGGTGGCTTCTCTAGAGTCAGATTATCAGATGACTCTAGTCTAGAGATTTTGATGTCGACTCGACCTCTTTCTGGAGGTGCTTTGGGTGGGGTGTTGTGGAATAAAATTGTATGCAACATTTTTAGCAATTGGATTTCTATGTTGGCCTCTTGAACTAATGGCATATTAATGTTTACAGTTTCTAGTTTGTAATGTTGTGTGTGCCACTCAATGTTTAATTTCTTCGAGGTCTTTACAGTTTCCTCTGCTGGTTTCATCCCGCGTCTCTTTTGATGTAATAAAATTTGAAGAACAATAGTACTGCAAGATATTCTTGTTCCAAAATTATGCAGAGAGACAAACATTTCGACCACCATGTTGTCCTGTACATTTTGGACAGCCAGCAGTGATTGCTTCATGTCACAAAGCAACAAAGCCAATCTTCCACTGCTCGAATTCTGCAGAGCCTAACATGAAGGAACTAGCGCTTTGATGCCCACCGCCTCCAAACTCCTGAGAAGAAAATGCAAATTCGATTTTAGCTTTTTTAAAGTACTGTATATGCCATGCCATGTAACAGGCAGGAATCATCTGTGACGAGGGAACAACCTGTGAGATGGGCGTTGTGTCTTCGGTGTCCACACTCCTAAGGCTTATTTTAAGCATTTGGTCATTTTCAAGCTCTGGGACTCTGTATACAACAGCCCCGATACCCCTAAAGAGAATTTGAAAGGGAAAAAAAGGACATGAAATCGGAAGGATGAAGAAACAGACATCTTAGTGACACCTTAAAATACATATCAAACAAGTTATTGAATGCGCATTCGAAATCCACAAGAGTAAAATCACAGGAGGTGATGAAAAAGGGGAGTATCTTTCACTTGGGAAACCAATGTCTAAGTATATCAACATGCTATTGTAGAGAACAACCTCAATAAACAGAGATAAAAGCCAATTTCCCATCTTACTAACAAAATATAATGGAAAAAGTTCTGAAAAATGCAGATGGCAGGATGTGCCCATCCGTTCCACATCGATCTCAAACAGAAAGACATGATGAAATCATGAATTTTACTCGAACAGTGTGAAAAAGGATTCTAACATAGGTTATATGAACTAATATACAATCCACCAGACATTTTACCCGGTAAAAAATCTTCATAAAAGATTTTATTTGTGAAGCCATTTCCAAACGGAGGAACTGCTTCCTCAAATAAATTCCTTGATTGACAACATCAAACTCGCAAATGCAGCTCTTGAAAAGATTGCTGTGGTTGATAGTTGAGGAACTGCTTTCCCAAATGGAGGAGCTCATAAGATGTGTTCTGTGACCCCTTCAGAGAGAATGGATAGAAAGGGACTAAGAATCTAAGAAAGCTCAGTTTCTGGAGGATGGGATTCCAGAATTGAGTAGTTTCCCCTTTACGGGGACCACAACTGAACATCTATTATTAGTTGCCCTTTCAACTGAGGGTATTTTCTCCATTGAATAAATATTGAGAAGAAAAAAAAATAAAAATTGACCACAATTGTATGAAAAACCATAATAATCGAGGAAACTAACCAGTTTCTCCTATATGAGATGTCACTCCAATGCTATAATCATTTATGGCTAAGGAGGAAAAAATGCTAAATTCATCATGCAATTGTTTAAGTCCACTCATAGTTTTCTGTATTCAACACTGTTTGTGGATGAAACATTTAGAGACGAAAATTGGAATGTGATAAGTAAAATGCACTGGCAATCAGCAGCACATCTAAAGAAAGCAAAACCAAGCCAAGTAACTTGGAAAGAATTTTCACAAACAAGGAACAGAATCCCACAGATACCATCCATTTCATAAAGTGACCGAGTTAATTTTCAACAACACAGAACGAACAGAACACAAATCCGAGAAATGCATATATTTCAAGATAACATGAGTGAATAAGTAGAATACCACAAACCTTAAGTTTAGACTACGGCTTTTAGTAGCTAATTGATGTCCGAGTTCACTCCTCAACTCTGAGATAGAATCTGCGTTGACAGCCTACAAAAAGATTATGCATTTACAATCAATTTTCCATCTTTTACATGCAGAGAATCAGAAGAAGTATATACCAGGCAATGTCCAAAGGCTCCACCCCCAAGTGCAATTTCATAAGACCGATTGAGAGCTTCATCTATTAATTTCTGCTTTTTTGATAAGCTCGCCATTCCTTGACTAATTAAGGACTCTAAATCCAAAGAAAGCAGCTGCTCAGGGGAACCAAAAAAAAAAGATCATAAATTTTTAAAAACGAATTCAACTATATTATTAAGAAATAAACAAGCAAATTACTTGTTGGAACAAAGACGGGTTGAGGCCGACGTCGTATTGAAAGTTTAAATCTTTGAGCCCACTACTGAAAGCTTTACTATTAGGGAGGCTCCACCTCCAGAGATCCCCATCCTCCACATATTCGAACAGCCTCCTCACTCTGTCAAACTGAGCAACCACCGCCTCGTTCTTGTCGCCACTGTCACCGTAAATTTTGCTTTTGAAGTAATCAAAAGCAATGGTGGCCCCGCTCCTGTTCATGTCTAGGACACCGGTGACGTTTTCACCAATGCGCGTCGTTTCGAGGGCAGTCTTGTGGTGGTCCAGAACGACGACGCTGGGGACCCTGGACGAGATCTCCTGGACAAAACCAGGGGGACCCACAAAGTCAAGGAGGTAGAGGCGGTCGATCTGGTGGAGAGGGAGGTGTTGGGGGGTGATGGGGCTGTAGACGGTGTTGGGGAAGAAGAGGAGTTCTTCCATAGACATGGCTGAGAAGTAGAGGTGGGCGGCCAAAGCAGCAAACGCACCGTCTGGGCAAGGATAGTGATACAGCACCGCCGCTTTCATGGTTCTCGCGCTCCTGCACAAAGCTGCTGCACAACTAATGTCCGCCGCTCTGCTGCCTCTAATTTTAACTGGTTTTTTCTTTTATCTTTTATTTTTGTATGTAAAATATTAAATAAATTAGGCAAGAGTAAAATGAGGGGGAAAATAGTAATTTAGCCAGTAAACTACAACGTGGTAGAAGAAGATAAGTCTCTCGCTCGCCAAGTACAAGTCTGTAATTCACCTTCATAGTTCACATACTGACTGATAGTTGATTCTTCCCAAAATGACAACGAGCGTCGTCCTCAGGAGCGCTCCAAATCTATGGGCTTCGGCCGATACCAATAGCAGACACAAGCAACAGAAAACATCTGAGTCTCAGGTGGGCTGCTGTATCAGTATTACGGGCAATTCCAGTTCCTCTTTAACTTATTGTGGTTGGCGGAAGCAGTTACTCCCTTGCCTTTCCTCCTCTCCCAGGCACAAACGCCGCACCTTCTTACCTTTGGCGTCTCTTTCGTCTTCTTCTCCTTCCTATTCTCCCAACACCTCTACCAAGCTTTACGTCAGTGGTCAGTCAGTTCTCTCTTTCCTAATCTAATATCCGTTAACATATTTTGCAGTATAATGATGCACAAATACTATTGGGTTTTTGTTGTTGATGATACATACAATATTCTCTAATCTATATTCTGTTTACCTGAATTACAATTCTACTCCTGTTGCTCTGCAAAAGAAAAAAAGAAGAAGAAGAAGAAAAAACTTGATTTGGACTAGGATTAGCCTCTGAAAACTCTGTCCAATTTACATTGTAAAGCACCATACTTTAGGAGGTCTGTAGGCTTGATGGACAATTTATGCACTTGGGTCCTCTTGGCTAACCAACACTCGTGGAGTCATGTGTCTAAGAAATGAAAACAAGGATCCCCACAGTTCAAACTCTATGTTAATAGAATGCATATTACGTATCAATGACGGGGCATTGTTCAATTTCTCATATGGTTCTCAATATTTTCTCAAAATTGAAGTTTATTGCTCTGTCTACGACTCTTCAGAGTTCAGAGTGGAACAAAACATCACAATTAATATGCTTTGTCATGCAGGGCTTTCATTTCGCACCACTGAGGAGAGTTTGCGAAATGCTTTCCAGAATTTTGGACAACTTGTAGAAGGTGAGAGCAAAGATGTTAACATGTTCCTTTTCTTAGTTGAGCTGCCTATAGCATCTGTCAGTGTTTTTATGGGTCAGCTATTGGTTATTTCTTTTCACTCTCTTAAGAATCTGCTTTTCATTTATAGTCAATCTGGTGATGGATAGAATAGCAAATAGGCCAAGAGGCTTTGCTTTTCTCCGCTATGCAACTGAAGAGGAATCTCAAAAGGCTATCGAGGGAATGCACGGAAAGGTATGTGCTGGCCAAGAGGCTTCTCTTTCCTTTCTTTCTTTTGAAAACAAGATGAAAAAACGAGGAAACAAATGACACTGCACCACTTACTGATGATATATCAGATTCATACAATATACCATTACCATCAGTGCTTGAGGGAGAGATGCGAGCGAGTCCTGGCCAGCGTATGAAACAACTATTTGTGTATATAAGACTTTTGACCATTAGTTTCATGTGAAGCCAAAGATCCTTCTAGTTGAGGATTTTCAGTAGAACTAACAATTCCTAATGCACACCTGGTCGAGAAATTTGCCTTCCTTGATTGATAGTCTCATACTGCTTGCTTTATGCGTGTGTCTTTGTATCCGTTAGTGTCTTAGATGACCCAACTTTGTCCTGGTATTGCTCGGCTTATTAGTCTGATTCAGTCTGTTGATCTATTTGTTCTATTATTTCTACAAACATGCACAAAAGCAGCACTCTTCAGCACTCTTCAACTGTTTTGAAGGCTGAGGTACTCTCTCGGACTATCGGGCTCCAAACAAATGAAGCAACAATATCAGTCTTTGGCAGCATAGCTTATAACCAGCTCATGCACAATGACATATCATCATTTATTGAACATCACCAAGACATTAATTACTGTTCGTGTTGTTGAGGTTAGAACTAGTGCGTCTCTTATATCCATGTTTCCAATGCTTTGCAACCAAGAGTCTCTGACCGAAAAAAAAAACGTCGATACATTCCATCACTCAAATTCCACTAGGAAGTAATCGCAATCAAAGAGCTCATGTGTTTCAAACTTTTTGGTGTTAATTTTGCCTTCAGGTTCTCTTGATTGTGTGCTTTGGTCATTGATTGAGCGGACATGATTTATTTACAGAGTGAGTCCATCAGCAGAGTCTATTATAAATAAAGTGCCTTCTGTTCTGTGGACTATTGGTAGTCTCTTTGAATTTTGCGTTGTTAAGTTGGGTTCCGATAAGTCCTCCACATGAGTTTCATACAGTGTAAGCACTTGGCAAAAGCCAAACTGGCTTCTGAATTTTAATCTGGAATGGAAGGCATGACAGCACAGCCTCATAAATAGACAAACAAGGCCCTTGGGTTCTTGGCATGTCAAGCCTACTGAATTTGAATATGAATTGAGACACTGCAGCTCTGGCAGAAGAAACTATTTTGAATTTTTCTTCTTTGTTTTGTTTTTTCAGTTTCTGGATGGCAGAGTAATATTTGTTGAAGTTGCAAAGCCCAGATCAGAGCTCCGTCAAACTCCCAAACAGAACCCAAGACAGTATTGAAAAGTCGGCTCTAACGTCCACTTTGTTAGAATTCTAAATTCTCCTTCTTGTATACTGCTGTCTCCTTCATAGAGGAGTAAGGGTTGAGGAATTATGGGATAGAATTAAATTTTGGGCATCTCTTTGGGCGTCGGTTTCGGGGCAGTTCGAGGACTATCACTACTCTACCATCATGAGAGACATGATGGCAGTCTTAAGATGATTTTACTGAAGTTTTTGTGTTTTTTAATTACAGAATTATTTTAAATCTTAGTAGGTCGGACACTATCTTTTTTAGGTCTCGTTTGTTTTGATCGAGGATTTTTCCTCTTGATTATCAATACAATGTTTCTATTTTTTTTGTCTAATTTAAAAAAAGGTGCTTTCAATTCAAGTTACTAAATTCATGGGGTTGTAAGAATGTGGTATTGCGCATCGCATTACAAGTCAAAAAAGAAGAAAAAAGAAATCTTGTGTATTGTTCGTATCAAATATTTCCACTCGTCTAATCCCAGTTCCAGTTAGGAGACGAATATGTATCGAATTGAAGCCTAATCATTTCATTGAAAGAATAGGGTAAAAAGAATAAATCCATAAAGGACGACGTTACAGTTATTTCAAATTGCAAAAAATGCAACATCAGACGCCAACAATTTAAACTGAAGCATGGATTTTTAATTATACGGGTATTGCGATAAGCTAGAAAACAGAACATCTGCCGTGGGAACTATGAGCAGACACGAGCCCGCTGTCTGTCCCTCATCTCTCCTGATGAGTTCATATTTCTATCTGCTAAGCATCTTTTGTATGGTGCAAACCCCTTTCTTGAACTGCAAGGGAGAGATCGAGTCTCTTCGCATAACGCATCAGCAGCCTCTAAATGCTTCTCTGCTAAAATTTCCACTGCACTAACTGAACCATCGTGTGATAAAGACGTTTCCGTCTCTTTCATTGTTTCATCCGCACAAGAATTGGCCTGTATTTGAACTGAGTTTTGGTTACATGATCTGACTTGAAAAAATGGTATTAAACCATCATGCATAAACCACCATGGCGGAGGAGCATCAGGGTTAACTTTCTGAGAATTAGGGCTCTGTTTTTGGTGTTCCACAATTCCACCGAGTGACAAACGCGTGTCTAACTCATCCAATCTTAATGTTTGAGCAAGCTTATCATTCTCCCTCTGACAATTCTCTTGTTTAGCCTTTGAATCCTTGGTAACACTACCAGGTGGAGATTGTCTATCCAAGTCTGATACCAAAACCGTCCTTCCAAATAGCTTAATACTTGGGGAAGCTCTTGGACTGCCAGCATCTCCTTCTGTACTCACAATGTGATTGGAACCTGATCCATGTTTCTGGACATCCACATCAATCCAAGGGTAACCAGAGTCAGAACTCAGAACCCAAAACCGAATAGAGGAATCAATATTTAAAATTTTAAATTAACAATAACAGTTACAGTTCACTTACCATGCACGCAAATTTTTCCGGAGTTGAGTCGGCAGATAACTGAACTGATGGCACGGACTCTTTCACTTCTTCAGTGGATGAGTTGGATGTCATGTAATCATTCTCTTTTTCAACATGGGATAAGACGGTTGAGCGCATGTCAGTGGTACATGAAGTTGGGGTTGCAGATCTGCTAGGCTGGTCCAAAGCTGCAGACCCCAGTATATCTGAACCAAGTGCAGATAATACTGAAGTAGGCGATTCTTGGCCCTTCCCAGCAACTGAAAAATGCGGGGACGGTGACCTTTCTGGTGATCCAATGAGAGAATCGACTGATTTACGTGGATAAGGATGCACGGGCTTCCGCTTAGGCCGCGGAGGAGGTATCTCAATTGGTGTGATGGAGCCTTCGCTTGGTCCGCTCGACTCCTTAGATACCTGAAAGCAAGAAAAACCACATCAATGCAATGAAAAATAAATACTAGCTGAAAATACAACCGATGGACGTTTTAATGGCATGGGACCTTAAACGTTTAACTCAATAAATGTTTGGATCGTGTGCATACTATAATAGGAAATATGAACTCAAGTCAAGAGCATTCACCAAAGTTAATACCTTAGAGAAGAACTTTTGAGCATGACTTCGAATCTGAACTGCAGTTTTGGTGCCTACATGTTCTGAATGAAGATAAAGAATAACTTCATCATCAGATTGTGTAAAAGAAAATTTCTCTTAGACAGAGTTATGCAGCCCTGAACATACCTTCTATTTGACGCCAACCTCGGCCATACAATTTCAAGGCTTCAAGGAACTTGTGATGCTCTTCCTCTGTCCATTTTTCTCTTTGTTTTGTAATTGTGTAAGGTTTCCTGATCTGAAGAAAGGGGGAGCAAAGAAAGAGAGAATTAATTTAGCCAAAACTTGAGCAGGGTATATAGATTTTTGGCCAAAAGAAATGCTCCGAAAATGAAAGCTAAGAGAAGAAGGGAACCTTAGGTGTATGGTCATTGCCAAAGGAAGATATCTCCTTGAGTTCAATCACTGGTTTAGATTGTGCATCGCCTTTTAGACTGCAATCGGCAGCTGCAACAGAGGCGTTTGACCCTGTGGCTTCACTGTAATCCTATGGCCAAACACAAAGTCGGGTTGATACTTTTTCATCCAACATAGTCAAAACAAGTGAACAAGCGTCGAACATTAGTACACAATTCAGTTGGGAGGAACACAAACAAATAATTCTGCACCAGTTTTACATGAGATTACCGAATCACACATATAATCCCAACCTCAAATCAAGATTATGCACCATCTATACGAGGTTCAACAAAAGTGGTATATATCTATTGAACTATGCATGATCCGGTATTGAGTTGAGGGTCAAATTTCTCACATCTTGGACTGGAACAAGTTGTACTAAGAAATATTTAAATCTAAAATTGCTTAACAGAGAGAGTACTCATTGGGAAACTAAAATCAAATCCCAATCAAAATCATTCATTGAAAAGACAGAAAATTGAAACACAGTAAGCCAAATTGCATTTGCATACCTCAACAGCCATGGCTCCTCAAAAGAAACAGAACAAGTCCAGCACGTTACTTACTGCAAAAGGTTAACGCACTACACCTGGAAATTGATTGCCCACAAATAAAAGAAACACAAATAAGCTTTCATTAATTGGATATTCCGCTGCATTTAAATAAAAATAAAGATAATAAATAAGAACCAAGCAGACTTTTCCTATAAATAAATAATAAAAACACAAAAGAAGAAAAGTGTTTTTTTTTTTTGGGAAATTAGAAAAAAAGAAAAGTTCTTTGCTTATGTAGACCAGATCAATCAGAAGCTTACCTCAATGGTATCTGAAAGACTGAAAACAAACTTGTCTTGAGAGTTTTCTTTTTCTAACTGAGAAAACAGAAGGCTCCTCGGCTTTTCCCGATAAACAAAAAACAGATTCCGCCGTCGGATTCTAGGGAAATAAAAGAAACGAAAAGGCGAAACCGAAAGAGAAAGATAAGATTAAAAAGAAAGAAGAAGCAAAATCCAAATCCAGAGAAGCAGGAGATGAAGATGAATACAGAGAGAGAGAGAGAAATGAGAGAGATTAGGAGGATAGTAGAAGAAGCGCACAAAGAAATTCAGGGTTATATGGAGGAAGAAAGTAAAAGCAGGGGATGCCACGTCAGAGTGAGTATTTTTAATTTTTGAAAATTTTGTTGACAAATTTGGCAATGAAAAATCGAGAAGGGCCTGGGAATCTTGTGGCTGAGAACGCAGGGGACACTCGGCACTTTCTGATACTCTGTCTCCCACCTTTTCGGCTTTTCTCCCAAATTAAGAAAATTCTGTAATTCCCAATTTTTATTCATTCTCTGATATGATATTCTTGTGGAAGATATTAAGTCCAATCCAGATCGGATAATACAAACACTGACTCAGGAGAGGAGGCTTTCCTTTTTCACCAATTAGATATTTCTGTTTTCATTTTAAATTTAGATATAATATATGTATTTTTTTTATAAAAAGCAATAGAATTTTATTAAATCAATATGAATAACTAGTACGAAAGACACATACTGTAAAGGGAGACTAAGAATGCTCAGCAAAGCTCAACTAAGTTTCTAGAATCATGAGGAAAAATAAACACAGAAAACTAAAAAACAATAGGTTTTTTTTGTTTTTTCAGTACATGTATTAGTCTAAACTATAAGGGAATGAAATTTCTCAAACACACACACATAACTATGATATCCTAGATATTCGAACTTGAGAGACTCTAACTTGCAAGTCAAGGCCCTCCTCACTATAGTATTATTTTATTTGTTTAATTTATAATTTAATACTCGTTGAGAAAATGAAAAAATAGATGAAAATGAAAAAAGAAAAAGAAGAAAATATCTGAGCCACAAGAAACAAGGAGAGACAAAGAGGGGTGGCCAAGGGCCAAGTCCCTCTCTAAATCTCATCTCATATCTCAAGTGGAAAGTGCAAAGTGGAAAAAGTGGAAAAAGTGGGAAAAGTGCAAGTGGTGTCCCCTCAGCTTTCAATAATCTCTTTTATATTATTGAAAAAAGATTATATCTGGAAAAAATGTGGATGTGGATTTTACTGAAAATAGAGACGTAGGGAGGTGAGAGTGTGACGAACTAAGGTGGTCCCCACCTTTCTATTATCTTGCGCTTTTTGACACCTCAGCTGCGCTTTATTTCGTGGCTTCCTTCTCTAAACGCCACGCTCTCGGGCCCCACCGCCTCCACCCCCACTCAATTTCAATCTTCAAACAACAGGGAGTTATTATTCATCACAAAAATTAATTATACTGTTTTTTTCTTTATAAGATAATAATTATATTGTTATAGATTCAGATAAGAGTTTTTTTAATTTTTTTTAATTTATATAAGTGATAGTCTAAATTACAAAACTATGATATCATGGGAATTCGAACTTGAGACCTCAAATCTACAAATTTAAGTCATTTTTCACTGGGCTAGACCCTGTTGGCATTTAAGTCTTTTTTTATTACTAAAAGTTCGAATTTCTTTCTATATTCATATGTTCATAGAAAAAAAAAGACCAAATAAAATATCAGTAACAACTATTGCAGAGTAGAAGATACTTTAATAATTCAATTAATTCCGGGATCTTGTAACATAGTATTAGCATTGGGATTAAAATAAATTCTAAAGAGAAAACCGCATTAAAGTAAGATGAACGGTCCAGATGAACCTTGACTTTAGAACCGATAAGATTAGAATAGAAGCCTAAACGACTAGGTGCAGTGTGAAAAGCAAAAGTGGAGCCCACCTGGTAGTATTATTAGGCCAAAACTCAAAAGAATTTTTTAGATTAAAAAAAACCTTGAAATATTTGCAGCCACAAGTTTCTAGTATCTAACTTGGTCGGGGGAAAGATTTGAGTCTTAAATTTCTATGCTTTGGTTAGCTGGGTTGGGTTGGGTTGGGTTGGGTTGAAGTTGAACAGCAAAAGGTCATTGACACGTGCCCTGCAGACCCATTCAGTGATCCACACACACAGCCAAAAACAAAAGCAAATAACGATCACCCAATGGAGAGGTGGATCTTTCGTAGAAAAATAAACAAATAATAAAATTCCAGTGGTGGATATTTGTTTCTCTAAAACGCCCTTCTGGACCGTGATTATTTTGTGGAAGGTGTTATTTGAAGAGAATGGATGAAATGCTGGCAATGCTACTTATGAAGGAAGAAAAATGAGTATTTACATTTAAAATTTTAAAAAAAACCATGAATAATAAATGCATTGTTAAGAGATGAAAATGACAAACTCAAGGAGGTTCGTGATTTTCACATTCCCTCTTATCTTATTTTCGTGTTAAAAATAACACGTTCTCAAAAGTACTTGTAACATGAGAATAAAATCTCGTATTTCATTATGAAGGCCCCATTTCTTATAAATAAAATACAAATGCTACCTTGGAATTGAATTTTTGAGGCTGGCTCTCGCCACCAGCTTCTTTTTTAAGCTAGGATAGGAGGAGGAGGAGGAGGATAAAGATTCACTCAGATCGTATCATTATATATCATCATCATATCATATGCATGCTTGTTTGGCAATGCCTGCCCTGTGCAGGCCCCACTGGCTGATTGGCTGGCATCCACCGGTGCTTCATACCTCACCCAATTTCCAACCCAAAGTGAGGCCAACCAATCAATCAAAGTAGGCATGGAAAGGAAGTGGAACACCAAACAAAGGTGTAAAGGCTGCTCACATGGATTTTGATAATAATGCCAACAAGTTTGAAGTTTGTGAGGCTCTTGTTTGTTTGTCTCATACTTCCACAGATCCCAAGCCTCTTCATTTTAGGCCTGATGGATGAAGCCATGACAGTTGATCCAGGGGCCAGGACAGGACAGGACCAATTGCAATTGCATCATTGCATGCTTCAGTTTTAGTTTTAGGTTTGGATTTCTTTCTTTCTTCTTTGCTGACACTCACATGGTATGTACTAGGAGCCTGCCTGCCTGCCTGCCTAACCCTCCCTTCCTACTTTCTGGGTAAATAATTTGGCCCATGTGATTAGGCTCAGTTTGTTTGTGCCAATGCCAAACTTGAAACGCAAACGCAAATTGATGATATTAATATCTTCTTTGATCTTTTAGGATTAATAAGAGAAGAGAAGACACACACTCATTATCTTTATATATTCAGATTGTTTTTTGTGTACAAACAAACAAACAAACAAACAAACAAACAAACAAACAATCAAACAATCAAACAATCAAACAATCAGAATATGAATGTTCCTACAAGTTTTTATTCTCTTGTAAAAATCAAACACATGCAATGGAACTTGGGCCATTCTTCTCTCATGTTCAGCGTTGGGCCAAAATGACCATGAGCAGTTTTATTATTATCTATGGGTTGGGTTTAGTTTACTTAAAAAGGATCAAAGACTGAAATAAAGACCCATCACAAATTAAACACCACAGCCCCAGCCCCAGCCCAGCCCTCCAATCAACAACATTATTAACATTAAGTTGATTGATGGGGTATTTTCTTATAACAAAAATCTGGCTTGTTCTACATCACAAGTTCACAACACAAGTTTACTGCATAGGATAAAACATCATTAATGAATCCTAGAGAGTACAGTACAGGGTACATGGTACAGGAACAGGATAAAGGAAAGGAGATGATGGGATCAAAAAACACAAGACAAGACAAGAATTGTCACAAGTTGGCAATGGCAAAACTTTAATAATGTTGATGGAAGGGAAGGGAGGGAAGGATCATCAGAAATGATAGAGATGCATTGATGGTGTTTTAAGACATGCCTTTATGGCTATACTAGTTTTCTAACAGACTTGACAACCTGTTACTATAAAGCTTGCTTGTGCTAACTTTGATGAAATGAATGAAACCCATCTTTATGAGAGTGTACTCACTCACTTCGCTGGTGCCCACTGTGCCATTACATTTACATATATAGCAGCAGCAGCAGCACCACCACCACCATAGCTCCTTAAGATCTTTATCACTCCTCTTAATCAAACCTTAATATAAACAAATCAAATCAAACATGAATACATAATTGCTTCCAAACAACACATTTCTAATCCTTCCGACTTTGCAAACTGGCACTAATCTTGGTTGCCAAATATATCAAGGCAACACTAATCTTGCTTCCCAATGAATCAAGGCATCCAAAACTCCAACCGGTAGATTGATGGTAGTAAATGGGATTCAACCTCAAAGAAATTAAAATTTGAAAAACAAACTAGAAGGAAAGGAGATGGACTTAGGGTCATATCAATCAATCAAGGAAGTGCTTTTTTTTCCCAGGAATATCTTAAAGCGCGCGTGCGTACACATATATATTAAGAGTTTTATATATTATATATTTATGCTTTCAGTACGTCTCAGGGATGGAGGAGGGCCACAGAGTTGAAGTCAAGCCTACTACGGTCAACGTCTTGGCCCTACACTCTCATTACTGTCACTCTGGTCATCATCCCTCACACAAAGACACATAAACAAACAACACAAATTAATTAAAGGCACTTTAGATCTGTCATTACGGATTTGTTTTGTTTTGTTTTGTTTTTGTGGGAGAGAGAGAGAGAGAGAGAGAGAGAGAGAGAGAGAGAGAGATAAAGTTTGCTACAACAATAGAAATAGAATATGAGAGAGAGAGACAGACAGACAATTGAAATATGGTTTTTCATATATAATAAATCTAAAAGTCCATGATTAGGAAGTCAATGCCCGAACCATACGATTTTTCTTGCTGGAGTGGAGGAGGAGAGAGTGGAATGGCGGTACGGACTGGAGAGAAACTCAGCAGGAGAGACACGTATGGTGCGTTCTTGACTTCCTCTTTTAAATACTGCTTTTCCAAAGCTAACATTGCTAAAATAACAAAAACAAGGAAAATAAAACCTGCCCCACCAAAAAAGAAGAAAAAAAGAAAAAAGTTTGTAGTTGGTGAAAATTGTACTGAAGTAATGAACCTTGGAAGCAAAAACAGCTCTACTAGCAGCAGAAGGAGCAGAAGAAGCAGCAGGAGCAGTAAATGAAGAGCTTCAGCTCTTGATGAGAGGGCATTCAAAGTCCCAACTAACCCAGATACTTGTCCCACATTGAATACCACCAGCACCAGCCCCAGCAGGCTGCCCAAGCACTACTGTCTGAATGAACACTTTTCTGATCACCCTATTTAAGGATGGTAGAGGGTAGAGAGGAGAGAGGAGAGAAAACAGTTGTGCCATGATCATCAGGAACTATTACAATTCAAGGCTGCCTTAATTTGCTGGACAGTGGTGCCAATAAGAGTATTCACAGTATTCACCGACTCCAAGTTCAGCTTAGCGGATGGCAAGCTGCTCACTAGGATTTGAAATGCCACTGTAACTAGTGATCCACCACTTCCATGTACGTTACAAGAACTTGTTGAGGCACCATCTCCTTGCTCCGGCCTTCCGTCCGGTGAAATGGTGAATCCTGATGGCAGCAGAGGGATGTAAGAAGGATCCTCACCGCTCATTGCAATGTTGATGGATGGTAGATCAACAGGGCTGTACACAACAAGTGACCCTGATGAGTCTATGCAGCTCTCCTGCAGCATCAGCATGTTGTTCTGGCTAGTGTTGAAAGCCTATACAAGCAGTTATTTCATAGTACAAGCAAGTTATTATTACACATTAACTAGTCCTTTAAAAAAAAATCAAAAACAAAAACAAAGGAGTTGCATTGTAACAATGGAAATAGCAAATAAATAACTTATTATTTCTTACTCTTAGAACAGATATGCAGTTGCCTGGATGTGAACCATTTGCTATATGGGCAACCTCTTGCACTGCATTGTTATTGGAAAGGACATCCCACTGGAGGAAAACAAATTAATCCGATTGATATAACAGTTACCAATTGGAATAGGCAGTACGTATGAGTTTGTCTAACAAGCATAAAAGTACCTGAGGTCGAGTTCTTTCATCCTTGAAAAAATTGAACACATTTTGTGGAGATACTGGTAGCCAAATGGTCGTGGCTGCACTAAGAACCACACCGTTGGGATGACCAGGATCCGTGCTCTTATGGATGGTGACTCGCACTCCAACCTCGTTCATCCCAGAAAGGGTGGTCCATCGATGGCCGTTGGATGTGCTAATGCTTGCACAGAAGTTGTTGACCATCCTTTGGGCAAGTTTCATCATGCTTCTCTTGCCTTCAGGCGATGGAATCACTGATTATTCAAAAAATAAAAATAAGAATGTTGAGATCAAGCTGCTAGGATAGAAAGTTAATAATCATAGAATTACTATATATGGTGTTGAAACATTTAAGCTACCTCCTTCAAGATCTCTAGTAGAAGTTCCTGAAACCATTAGGCATGCAAATCTTTCACACATTCTCTGAAGAGCAGTAAGCCATCGTTCAGCTCCAAATGCTAATCCACTGTGAATAAGATCTCTATAAAGCCGATGAGTTGGGGCTTTGTCTTCTATTTCCACATGTTCCACCCATGAAACCTATTTTTTAGCATTTGATATGCATATGAGCAAGTTAAGTGAAGTGAAGTTATAACATTACTTAAATATTGTGTTTCAAATACTTTCTGCTTGTTAAACAAAACAAACCTTGGAATATCCGTTAGGCATGTCTTGAATCAAGCACCCGGAAGGAAGCCTATGAGATCGACATTGATTTGTAAACTGGTTATCTCGTGGAAAATCGTAAGAAACATCGACAATTGCCCACAGGCCTTGCTCAATTTGCTGGCAATAACGAAGGAAGTAGAACTCCCGAGTTTGTACCAACGGTGAAAGCACCTGCAACTCTTTATACATCTACAAAAATATCCTTCGAGTGAGAACTTATCCAAACATAATTCTACCATAAAACTAGACAATGCAAAAGACAATCAAAAGATTTTCTTACTAGCCACTCACCAACTGCAAAGACCCACTCTGACTGCCCAGCATTCCAGATGATATTACTTCGATTGTCTTTGCCATTGAGACAATTGTTGGAAATAGCTCCCCAAACTTGTTCTGCAAACATAAAATTGTTAAACACTTGGATATAGGTAATTAAGATAAATACTGCCTGATACTTGCAATATACAGTTGGGGAGCGGAGGAGGAGGAGGAGAGAAATTACCGGGTCCATAAACATTTCGACTAATGCTAAACCATTCATGATAACCACACCAGAGTCTCTTGATGCTTCAATTCTAAGATGGGGATTTTTCAAATGACTATTAGCCCTCGGAAAAATCCTCTCATAGCTTTCAAGATTAAGAACATCCCTCCCATCAGTAGCGGACTTAATCCACAAAGGCTCATTGGTCTGCAAAAGCCTAAGCAACTCTTCCATGGCATTTGCTGCAATATCAGTCATGAGGGACTTGTCCATGTCCGATAAAACGGTAGGGTGGTAAGGCAAACTGGGCATGGTAGATGAAGTAGTCCCTGGAAGAAGATCAAGATCAAGGGAAGGGCCACCCACCCCATGGCCCCCAAAACTTGCCATTGATAACTCCAAAGACGAAACATGAATAGGCTGAACAGGAGGGAGCTGGGAAATTGGCCTCCCAATGCATTTGGCAGCAATGCTAGATACTCTATCTAGCTGCAAAGCGGGGAAAGCAGGACAAGAGAGACAGCAACCAAATTAATGAAAGATAATTAAATAGACTAGTTTAAGAGAAAATTGCATCAAGCTTGAAACTTTATGACAAAATTGAAATGGGAAATTAAAGAAAGAACACCTCTTCTTTCAATTGGGCATTCTCCATTCTCAATTTATGTTCATCAAAATAGGAATCTTCATTGAGGGGAGGGACACCGCAAGCTGGGCAAATGACATTTTTTAGGGCCTCTCTGATTGCAATGTTCTCACATCGGATCTTGTCGTTCTCTGCTCGAAGCGCACAGTTATCAGCTCTTTCATGTTGGGCCTGCGTGTTTTCATTAGTATAAGAATTAATCAGCACAAACAAATTAAGAAGAAAAAAAAAGAAAGGACTGGTTTTTGAGTACAAGTGTTAGTTAGAACAGAAGAGAGTGAGTGAACACCTTCATCTGGGTCCTCCGGTTTTGAAACCAAAATTTGATCTGGCGAGGAGCCAACCCCAACTCTCTGCTCAACTGCAACCTTTGCTTTTCATCTGGGTGAGGGCACTCCTTGAACATTCTTCATATCAAACACATGCAATCAGATTAACATCGTTCCGATCACTCGCACAAGCAACCCCATAAACCAGACAGTGTCACAGACAAAAAGTCTTAAGACAAGCAGTGAAATGAACAAGTACAACTACTAGACTTACCCTTCAAGCTTCTGAATCTGGTTAGCAGTGTGACGATGGTAGCGCTTCTTCCTTCTTTGAGAGTCAGAGGCATCGTGGTCTCCACCAGAGCCAGCGCCTCCTCCACTGCCGAACTCCATTTTCTCCTTAATCTTTTGTGTCCTCCTACTGGAGAAGTAGCAGGTACCAAGGAAGCTAAGCGCTAGACTAAATGGTTTGGTTTAACGATGATGAGCGGAGCATCTAGCAAGTTAGTAGTCCCATGGCAAAGCAATATTTGATTGACATAAGCCAAGAGTAAAAGAGAGAGAGAGAGGAGAGAGAGAGAGAGAGAGAGAGAGAGACAGCAAGCAAACAAGAGTGTATATTTATATGGCGTGTTGACTTTGTGTTGTTTGGGGTGTAATATAATGGGGTTATGAAAAACTGGGTTTGTGGGGGTTTAAGGAAATGAGAAGGAAATGGGGTGTTTTGAGAGGGAAGAGCATTAGTTATGGAAGCCCAGGACAGGCATCATCAACTCAGCACCAAACCAAGATTTCATATATATCATTTGATTTGATTTCATATTTCATTTGGTAGCTTAAACGGCTGCCAAGATATCAAAGATATCGGCTTGATTTTGGAGAGTGAGTTATGGCACTTGGATGAAATCTTGGAGGCGTAATTAACTGTTACCATAACAAATAACAAAGAGAGAGAGAGAGAGAGAGAAGAGAACCCCAGAAAGAAATAGAGAGAGAGAGAGAGAGAGAGAGAGAGGATGACTATGCCACTTTCTTCACTGTTTGTTTGATTTGTGATTTATGATTTGTATGTCAACTGCCTCTACTAAAATGTAACCGATGATGAGTTTTAAAAGCAATGCTTCTATCTAACAACACCACCAACCCAAACCCAAAGCCAAGGAAGAAAATAAGAGAGAGAGAAAGAGAGCCAAGTTCGTCAGAAGAAATTAAATTCTCACTCACTCACCCCATTCGAGGGCAGGGAGAGGGAGGGAGGGAGGGAGGGCTTAATAATAATATTATTAGTTTTTCGGGTTAATTTTTTATTAGTCCATGAATTTAGACTTAATTTGCATTTGAGTCCCTCAATTTCCAAAATTATTTCCGTGGTCCTTTAACTTTACTTTCGTTAAGACAAATAGTCATGCCGTCAATTTTGTTAACTTTTTCTGTTAAATATAAGGGCAAAATGATATTTTTATATTAAAACTAAAAAAATGAAAACAAAATCATATCTTTAAAATAACAATAAAAGAAAATCAAATAAAAAACCAACAAAAACAAAAAAGAAAAATCAAATTTGGGAGGAGTATATAATCAATTTAATACAAAAATACTATTTTGTCTCTACATTTAACAGAAAAATGAATAAAATTGACGGCATGACCATTTGTCCTAACAAAACTAAAATAGAAAGACCACATAAATGATTTTGAAAATTGAATGACTCAAATGCAAATCGAGTCTAAGTTTAAGAACTAATAATACTATTAACTCTAGTTTTTTTTTTTCTCTCTCTCCTGCTATACAGTATACTAAATATACTAATATAGAATGGTACAGTCACAGCCAGGTGTGCACCCACCCATTCAGCTTTTATTACCAGCTCCACTCTTCCCTCCCCCGTACACACGGCTTAGGGTCATTTCCCGGCCACGTGCCTGTATTTACAAATTTAACCTTTTTCCTTCTTCTTAGGATTCTTGTGGCCGAACTGCGCTGCCTGGGCTGACTTTCTAGCTTCTGCCTGTCAATAACTTTCACCTTTTCCATACAAATTATTACTCTCTTTCATTCTATTATTGGTGATAACGTAAAAGAGTTTTGATATATAATAATAGAAAGAAAAAAACGTATAAATTGACTAAAAGTCAAACATGATACCACTTTCGGGCTGCAATCGTGTGTGATGCCACTTTTGACGCTGTTAAGTCAAACTAACCCCTCCCTC